ATAGATCTAGAGGTAAAAAATTGTGATTTATGTAATAGATATGGGAACCAGCAACAAAGATTTTCGAACGTGTACATATAGATTTTGCACAATTTGAAGACAACAATCTAATGGTATTTGTGGACGCGTATAGCAAATTTCCGATCATAAAACGAATGAAAAATATTACGACGGAATCAACTCTAAAAGAATTGATGAAAATTATAAGCTTATTCGGAATACCACACAAAATCGTGACGGACAATGGTACGAATTTTACTAGTCAATTATTTAAAAAGTTTTGTGAAGATTATGGCATAAAACACATACTTACAGCACCTCATCATCAACAATCGAATGGTCAATGTGAACGGATGATAAAAACTATGAAAATGAGTCTTAAAAGAAATATGGAAAGCAACACGAACATAGATTTGGATGTAGCTTTAGAGAAATTTTTGTTTAATTATAGAAATACGCCGAATGATACAACGAATATGATACCCAGTAAAGTAATGTTTTCAAGAACGATCAGGACCAAATGGGACTTAATCAAACCTGTGGAAGATAACGAGAATATGTTAAGAAGAAAAATATCAAAGAATAGAGAAATAGAAATAGGAGACAAGATTTGGTACAAGACGTTTAAAGAAAATATTTGGGATAAAGGAGTAATAGTACAAAAAGAAGGCAACTTGACATACAGAATAGACAATGGACATCATATTATCAGGAGACATTTGGATCAAATAAAAAAGAGAGCATCAATAAATAATACTGAAAAAATTTTTAGAGGGGGAAGAAGTGAACAAGTTCAAGTTCAAAATTCGAAAATTCAAAGTCAAGTTCAAGTTCAAAATTCGAATATTCAAAGTCAAGTTCAAAAGCGAGAATATGACCTACGACATAGAAAATGATTAATTGTTATAAATAAATAAAATTATGTAAAAAATATTTATATAAAATTTTGAAAGAGAAATAGGATGATCATACAAACAGCAAATCAACAAGCAATGTTTAACTGACGACGTTTCAACAATGATGTTCAAACAACGATGTTTCATGATGTTCGATAATCAATTCAACTAACGATAATCAGATGGTCTAACAAACGATCTAAACGATATACTCTCGATGATAGGAAAGAACACTCAAGCTTTCGAAGGAAGAAATTTAAAAAGAAGAGGAAATGTTAAATATAATTGAATATTATAATTTTTGTTTAAAAGATCTAAAATTGAATATTGTATTTTTTAGTTTAAAAGGTCAGTGATAAGAAAAAGTAAAATGAAATTGTAAAGGACATATGTATTTTGTTTATATGTAAATACGCTATTATAAAAAATGTATATAATGACAAGAATTTTGTATATAGATAGTCATAATAAAATTAAATTTAAAAATCAAAAAAAGAGTTAACAAATTAATTTAATCTTTTTATACTTTTTTAGTACCTGCCTTCCGTGTGTTTTTCATATATGAAAATATATAATGTTATATGTTATAGGTCAACATTTGTATGACAAAATGAATCAAATAAGAGACCAACAAGAGCAATTAGTTCAGAATCATTTTAATTTTAGTTTACAGCAAAATATGAAAGAATATGATATCAACAATACTCGAATAAAATTAGAAGAATTTATAGATAAACTGATGAAAGGGTTAAATAATGTCAGTAATTCTTTATATCAACTTTGTGAATTTAAACGTACAAGTGATAAAGGCTAAAGAATGTTGTAATCATTGTTATAGTAATTAAAAATAGCATTATAAAATTTTAGATAAATATTTAACATATAATAAAGATATCAATATTATAATTTCCAACAATATAACACAATAGAGTATATATTTATTTGTGACTGTGCTAAATTATATATTATAAGTTGTTATAGTAAATACATACTTTAAAAACACTACCTTGAAAAAAGGTAAGACATCTAAAGATATAGTAATATATATTTGTAATTTAATTTAAATACTTTGGATTGGTTTACAGGTTTCTGCATGGCTTTTAGTTATACTAAACATACTTATTTTTCTAATTTTGTAAGCTTAAGTAATTTATCTATGTTTTCTGCGAAGGTTTGAATCTTCATAGTATTGGTGGCCATCTTTGATAATCTTTTGCCTACATATTTTTTAGCGATTTTTCGTTTAGCGATTTAGAACCGATCCCTTGGATTCAGGTCTAAATCGCATTAATCAGAATAGAATAAACATACTCACTTTATGTTACCACTAGAAAATTTAAATAATAAATAACATATATTATAAATATTTGTTTAGAAAGATTAATAGATAAAAAATATATACATGTGTAATAAATATTACATATATATTATATTAAATAAATATAATAAAATATTAAATATATACTTAAATATTACATACATATATAATTAATAAATATACCATATATAATTTACCTACATATTATAAATATGATGTTATTATAATATATAATCAATATGTTAGTTAATATATATCTTAAATAAATATTTTAAAATATTAAATATATTTAAATATTATTTATATGTATATTACAAGTATAATAAATTCATATACCATATATAATTTACCTACATATTATAAATATGATCTTATTATAATTTAGTAATATATTATCTTAAATAATATCGATATACAGTAAAATTAAATATATATATGTTAAGTAAATATGTTTAAATATTATTTATATGTATATTACATGTATAATAAATATATATACCATATATAATTTACCTACATATTACATATATGATGCAGTGGCGTAGCTACGGGGGTGGTTTTCGGGTTTTGAGATTATTTTTAGATTATAAGTTCAAAAGACTTAAAAGTGATTTTATATCAATTATATTTTTCTGGTTTTGATGTTTGTGGAAGGATATTATATTACTATTGAAATTATTCTGGATAGTATTATTATAAAGTCATTGAGAATAATCTACTAAATTATAATAACATATTATTGATGTATTTAAAAAATATATTTATTATATATTATCGAAGATATGGTTATTTGTAAGATAAACCAGGCCGAAGGCCTTGGCAAAAGGGCCGAAGGCCCGTTAAAGGGGATCTGGGAGGCGAAACCCCCCAGCTATATGTATGAACCCCCTCTAAAGAAAATTCCTAGCTACGCCATTGATATGATGTTACTATAATTTAGGTGTATAACAAGTTTACTACTAGGGAAGCAATCAAAATTTTTTTTAATTTTTATTTATTAGTAAAACCATAATAAAATTAAATTAAAATATAAAATTAATTCATCTTTGTTTTTGAGTAAAATGTGCTAAATTATAAAAGTTATTGCTAGATTTCAATTTTTTTAATAATTTTTTTTCAATCGAAATAAAAAATAGATTTAAAATTTAAAAATATTTTTAATTTATTTATAAAAAGTTAGTGGAATATCATAAAATTATTTTACAAATTTCTAAATTAATTGCTTAAAATAATTTGGTGCATCAATGGTATTGTTTATAATTATTAGGTGTCATGGCTAAGCGAAGATTTATAAATTCCCTTGCATGTTAAAAATATCCTTCACAATCTTAAACTGATATCTATAGATGTTTTAATATTATATATATTTTTTTATTATATTAGTCTTAATATTTTTATAATATATATGTATTTAAATTATATGCTCATACATATGAGGAAAATTAGCACTTATTTTTATTTTTTGATAAATAAAACGTTAAATAAAAGTATATCAAAATTTATCTATAAACAGATACAGATACTTCTGAAGTAGTATATAGATACAGATACTTTTTATACAACTCTGATAATCTAATCAATTTATAATTACAATTATTGAAAATAAATTTTGCTTTTAAAAATGAAAAATATTCTTACTCATGATATAGTTTATATTTTTGTTTGTAGAGCGATAACTATTTTTATCTATTTTTTTGTTAATTATTTTTTTTGTAGAGCGATAATACTTTTATCGATTTTTTTTTGTTTAATTGTTTTTTATGTAGAGCGATAACTATTTGTATCAATAATATTTTTTTTTTGCAATAAAAATTTGATTATTATTTTATTGTTTGTAGAAATATATATAAAGTGAAGAAATAATAAAATATAAATAATATAGTTGTTTTCATTCATTTTTTCCCCTTGCTACAAAATATTTTATGTTTTAAAAAAAATTGCAAAGAGAAAAGTAAAAGAAAAATTAAAATTAATACCGGAAAAAAGAAGTAAAATAAATTTATGTTAATTAAAATTTATAAAATTACTATCATCCGATTTTACTAATACTTTTAAAAAAGTGATAGTGCCTATTTAAAATTTTATGAATAAAACTTTCTTTCAATGGTTCAATAGATCCTTGTTTTGATACAATCTTCATCATTAGACTTCTCTCTAATGGGGTTGATAATAAATCTAAAAGCCCTAATCTCAATCATTCAGTGGACTAATTTTTTAAGATGTTTTGTTTATAATTCCATATTAAATTAACTGAAGGTCCAACCCTATTAAATTATTTAAAAATTAATATTATTTAGAGTGACCAAATAGATATCATTATACCTTAATAATGTTAATATAAAAAAATAATAATTTAATATACAAAATATGGTTAAGGACATCTAGTTAATAAAATATTAATATTCATGATATTTGATTAAGTCTGTTAAATATATTATTTAGTTTTTATTTATTTTGTTAAATATATTTCAATAAATAAAAATATTACCAATAGAGCATTATATGTACTAGGATTAGTTGAATGTTGCTTTTATACAAGTAAATTATAATGGCAAATGTTAAAATATCGAGTGTGAAATTATTTAACTTCTTTAAAAAATTTCTAAATGTTATTGTTATCTTCGTAACTTATTGTCTTAAACCTAGCAAAAACATTTTTAAAAAAATTCACTAATAAATCTTTTATTTTTTGATAAAATCTTTTATTTATGTATGTATATAAAAAAAATAAACATTTACAAATTTATTGTTATAAAATAAAACTATAATAAAATTAAAAACGGATATTTATTGATAGTTTTAATATTTAAAATTTACTAAAAAAGATATTTTATCTAAAAATTCTGTAATATCAGAAGTTCTTTCATACATTTGTGTTAAATTTGTAATATGCTCATCGATTCTTTCATATTTTCTATTTCTTCGCCGCACTCTAGATCTAATTATTGATCTGGATAATTTTGAGGTCGTTAGAATGATGACCTATTAAAGTTTTTATAAGAATGTAAACATTTGGGTGAGCGTGTGCCGTTTTTCTCTTTAAGGCATGATGAAACCCCTCTAGATGATTGTTGGTGCGGGGACCATCGACTTTATATCTAAATTATATGAAAATTTTAAAAATTAATTAATTATATTTTAAATACCTTGTCCATATGCCATGAGGAAATATGGCATTAAGGCCTAGCCATGTCGTATCCATATACTCCATAAAATCCATGAGCATGGGATTTTCAGACGCCATAATATAACAATTATGTCTTACCCTAGATATATCTTCCTCCTTACAAAAAGGCAAAGTTGTCATGCGCCTAACAACTTTGTGAACATTGGAGTGGTTCAGGTACAAGCTTACCAACCCTAAAGATTGACATCTTCGCCATAACGCTTGCGAATAATGAAAAAAACATCCTATACAAAATTATATTAGAATATAAATTATAAATTTAACCCTTTATAATCACAGGAAATACAAACTTGAGAGCTGATATAGAAGCTGCCTCAAAGTCTGTTTGGCCAAATCGAGGATTAAAGGTTATCTGGCGTTCGGCGCAAAAATTAGTAATAATTTGAAAAAGCCGGATATATGTTTCTTTCGTCTTGTCCGGAAGGAGAGCGTAAATGATAGGTATCATAACACCATACATAACATGCAAGGTATAAAGTTGATAAAATAATGTAGGAGCTATATGAAAAGTTCCATCCATGTAGATCATGTTAGAACCCTCGGTCAAACGCAACATGGAATCAGTACCAAAAACATATAAGTTACCTGTTCCATGGATTAGAAAACGTTCATTGCGAGTTGTCATAGCATATTCTGCTGATAACTCAATATCCAAAATCGAATGAGGCCTAGGGGGCCGATATTTCATAAGGAGTCTGTCTATGTGACTCTTCAAAGATATAAATGATGGTATCGCCTCAGAATAGTTTTCTATTTCTGGATCCTCCAAACATCTCTTTCCATAGTTTGTTATGTTTAAGCGTGTCTCAAGGGGATTCTGAGCTACAATATTTTCGAGTGCTTCTTTAGTTTTAAGCATCTCGAATGTCCCTATTTCAAAAGGATGATCATGTATACCCGAAGCAATATAAGCACCATCAAATTACATTTGGCCTTAGACAATCAGCTACTCTATAACGATATTTTATAATATCCCTATTTTGACAGTGAAATCTATTTATATAGTTCTAAAAGAAGAGTAACATTTTCCATTTTTGGCTTTTGACAAAACGAGCCTCTAGTTAATTAAAAATAATATTAATGCAATTTATTATAATTATTTTACCATAAATATTTGAATTTAAGTCTAATAAGGCTTAGGCTATGTCAAGAGGGGAATCTAGATTTGTGTCAGGCACTATGGGAGAAACTTGTTGTTCCAAATGTGGAATACCATTGGATGAAACTAGATTATAAATAAAATTGTCAAATTAAGAATTTTTAAAATTTTTATTTACTTAAGATATCAGGCAAAATGACAGAATCTTGTGATTGTGTTATGGAAGACTAAGATGGGTGCTATCTTATTTAAAATAAAGATGTTTAAATATCTTAAATATTTATTTTATTACATTTACACTTCGCTGTGTGTTCTATCGTAATTATTATGTCCTTTAATGAGAGCTTAGCTCTACCAGAACAATTATCACGACAACTTAAGTGTATAAATTTTTTGTTGGCACTTTTTATGAGGTACTCGTACCCTAAATAAATTATTAAATGATTTCCTTTTTGAGTTTTCTTAAAAGTAAAAAAATATATAAAACAATATTACTTCAAATTTAATATTTTGAATCTTAAGGTAACATTTCAAATTATTGGCAAGAGTGGCTAGCATCTATAAATATTTGAATTATTTTTAAAAATTTATTATGAATATATAAATCCATATTAAATCAGTGCTATTATAATTATTAGAGTAATACATATAAATTATATTGTTACTGTTAACAATTGTAAAAATGGAATATCAAGATCACTCACAATGTCAAATATAGTATTGATAGTTTATGCTTAATTGATTTAATATTATTAAGTTATTTTACAATCTTAATTAATTAAATATAATCATTTATTAATTGAAAATAAAATTAATCCAATTTAATGGTGTGATTTGTGTTGTCAAGTTTAATATCAATAATCAACTAAATCCTCTTTTTTAAATTTAAGCCTTTGAAAAAATTTCTAAAATTCAAATCAGTATCCAAAACTTCTTAGTGAAAACTAACTATATTTAATTTATAAATCTTTATAAATTATATTATGATCATTAAGTTCAATATCAAAATTTAAGCCTTTACTAAAATTTAAACCAGCATACAAAACTTCTTAGTCAAAGACAGTATTCAAAACTTTTGAGTGAAAACTCTAACTATATTTAATTAATACATCTTTATAAATTATATTATGATCATTAAATTCAATATCAAAATTTAAGCCTCTAAGAAAATTTCTAAAATTTAAACCAGTATACAAAACTTCTTAGTCAAAGTCAGTATTCAAAACTTCTTAGTGAAAACTCTAACTATATTTAATTAATACATCTTTATAAATTATATTATGATCATTAAGTTCAATATCAAATCAGTACTCAAAACTTCTTAGTGAAAACTCTAACTATATTTAATAAATAAATCTTTATAAAATATATTATGATCAATAAGTTCAATATCAAAATTTAAGCCTTTACTAAAATTTAAACCAGCATACAAAACTTTTTAGTCAAAGTCAGTATTCAAAACTTTTGAGTGAAAACTCTAACTATATTTAATTAATACATCTTTATAAATTATATTATGATCATTAAGTTCAATATCAAAATTTAAGCCTCTAAGAAAATTTCTAAAATTTAAACCAGTATACAAAACTTCTTAGTCAAAGTCAGTATTAAAACTTCTTAGTGAAAACTCTAACTATATTTAAATAATACATCTTTATAAATTATATTATGATCATTAAGTTGAATATCACATGAGTATTCAAAACTTCTTAGTGAAAACTCTAACTATGTTTAATTAATACATCTTTATAAATTATATTATGATCATTAAGTTCAATATCAAATCAGTATTCAAAACTTCTTAGTGAAAACTCTAACTATATTTAATTTCTACATCTTTATAAATAATATTATGATCATTAAGTTCAATATCAAATCAGTATTCAAAACTTCTTGGTGAAAACTTTAACTATATTTAATTAATATACCTTTATAAATTATATGATCATTTTCAATATCAAAATTTAAGCCTAAGAAAATTTCTAAAATTTAAACCAGTATACAAAACTTTATATATTACTTGCACTTTAAATTTTTTATCGCTTCAGATATGGCGGCCATTTTTTGAATATGTTATTTTGAAGACGTTTTAAAACATACTCAATTTATGCTATTTTGAGCAATGCTATTTAGTGGTCCACCGAACCAATTTGCACAGTGAGATTTAGAAATAATTAAATAGACAGAATATGAAATTAAAAAATCTTTTTTTCCCATTTCAGAAAGTCTCATAATCATTATGTTTAAAAATATTTATTGTTGGCATTCCCTTTCAGGCAGAATAATATGATTTGAAAATAACTTACAAAATATTAAATTTCAACTAAATTCACATATCATCTCTATTGATACCACCAAAATATATAATTAAATATATTTTTCATCATCTTAAGATTTATATTTGAAACAGGAGTTGGTATTTATTATTTTTAAATTTAACAATGTTTAAATTTGTTAAATTTAAAAAAGATAAGATTTTATGTTTTAAAGCTATAAAATTAATAATATTGACGATTACAAAAGATTTAATAAGATAGAGGTCTCAATCCAATGTTCCCCTTCATCTAATCTTATTTAAAAATTTTTTTGCCAGATATGGCTTGGGGGAGGGTTGTATTATAACCACTTATTTTTTTAAAAATATTTAAGAAAAATTTAAAACCATTTACTATAATAAAAAAAAAAATTATCAACATATTTTTTTAGCGCTGGAAAGGGTAAATCATATCAGTAACTAGGGGCTAGTAGAATTAGGTCGAATTAATTATATTATGCTTAAAAATATTATATAATAAGTATTCATTAGCTACTATTATAGCTTTAAATTCTATTTTTTTTCCCTTTAACTTTCACCTTTTCTGGTGGTTGATAATCAAAAGAATTAGAAAAAAATTAAATAATTCATTAAAACTTAAACATTTTTTAAATAAAATATCACATTTTGAAATTTTTTATGAATTATTTATATACAAATGGTGTATTATTGATAATAACAATTATCCTATAGGAGACTTAATAAACCAATGCAATCTACAAGCCTGGGGTTTGGGGCTTGTTGGGGCAAAAATTAACTTTTACTAGAATCAATCTTAAAATATAAAATATTAAAAATATATATTAATGTATAACTTAAGTTAAGTGTTTGTTGGGCTATCTCATGGTATTTAATAAATTCAATTATAAATTGTCAAGCTTATGATGATATTGACAAAAACGACTACTAGCCCTATTCCTACTATTGGAAGAAAGTTGATAATGAGATCAAAAATTTTGATTATTTACCGGGCGGCTAAAAAACGTCGCGTTTTGAAATCTTATTAACTCCGAAACGTGTCATTCGTTTTTTATGAAATCTCCTGTCTTAATATTCTCAAAATATATAATTTTATAAAGTGGTTTTTAGAAAATTAAGATAAAAATAATGTAGTCGTACATAAATATTTTAAAGATTTCCTTTAATTCATAAACTATAACATAAAAACAAAATATTTTAAATTTTATAAAGTGGCTTTTAGAAAATTAAGATAAAAAAATTTAGTCGGACATATATATTTTTAAAGATTTCTTCAAATTCATAAACTATAACATAAAATATTTTAGCATTATTAAACAAATCTCATTATTAAATACCACTAACAATATAAACATACGATAATTTTCTAAATTATGTATTTTATCAAAGATCTGATAATAATAAAATTTTGACATGAGAAGAAAAATTGGAATCAAGTTTAATTCCTGAATTCTCTAGGAAAAAGTGGAATATTAATCCAGTTCACCAAGCTAACCCCATGGTTATCATATAACTCATCAAGCTCCTTTTGTTTTTCAACTAAGATTTTATCAAGCAAAACCATAGATTCGTAATACGAATTCCAATAGAATTTATCAGATACCTACCCAATTTTATGATGTTACCTGGCATATTGGTAGACATTTTTTGTTTATTCCACAAAGTAAGACACTTTTGGAAAGAACTTTGTGATATTATTTTATGTTATCAGCTAAAGCTAAAAAATTTCTGATGCGCATAATTAGGGGAGACCGGTGTTATAATGAACCCAGGGTTATAGTGAGAGTGGCTTTATTTTCTAGAGTAATAAACTCTAAGAGATAATTTTTTACCAACTATATACTTATATATTGCATATGCGGCTATAATTTTTATTTCTATCGGACCGCTTGAAGAATTTTTATAATGCTTTATATCATTCGTACCTTCAAAAAGTAACTTTTTACACTTTTACTATTTTTCAAAAATAAAGATTAATATACAATTTTACCACACAAAAATCATCTTATATAAAAGAAAAAATCCTATTTTATAGAGTAACAATTTACCCGAACAAAATTGATAATATAAATACTTCAAAATATGATCTTAATCAAAGTGGTGCTACTGGGCTATTTTTATGGGGTTAGGTCGAACCTTTTTTTTTTGCTATTTTTTAAAAATTTGACATGCAAAAAAAGCCAAGGAGAGACCAACTAAAAGAAAAAAAATCGAAAAATGTTATTATAGATAAATAATTGTTTGGTATACAAATAAATTATATCAAGCATAACAATCAAGACTGATTTCAATGTCAGTTATTAGTTACATGGCTTTGCAATTTTATTGTTTTTTTATTTGCAAAGATTGTGAATGTTTTAAATGATTTTATATAACACTTTTATGTTTTAAATCATTAAATATATCCTAATAAAAAAATATATAACTTTTATATATGGAAAATTAAGCAGAGTTTATAATAGCCTCGACCAAGGGCATGTTCGTCCCCGGGTAGGGTTCACTCGGTTACCAAAAAAAATTCCAGGAAAAATGATATTTTGAAAAAATTATTAGAGATGTATTTTTGAAATTTAAACATATCATAAAACTAATAGAGCTGAACAAAATGAGATATATTTTATTAAAAATGATAAAGTACTTATAATTTTTTTTAAGGTTTGCCTTTAGGGTTCGCCATAACCCCGTTCTCCCCTCAAGTTTTCAATAAATTAAAAAGAAAAAACTTGATGTTTAATATTTAAAATGATTAGATGAAAAAGAGAAATCTATTTTATTACTTAGAATCTCTTTTATATATTTTGAGTCAAAAAAAAGAAAAGCCTTAGCCTTAATTTCAATAAAAAAATGTTTTTAGAGCCAATCCCCATTTTAACTTAATTTTCAGATTCAACTAAGTCAGTCGAAAAGTCGATAAATATAAAATTGTAACTTTCATGAAATTCCATTCGCGATATGATAATGCATTCGCTATAATGCATTCGCGATAATTTATTCGCTATAATGCATTCGCTATAATGCATTCGCTATAATGCATTCGCTATAATGCATTCGCTATAATGGATTCGCTATAATGCATTCGCTATAATGCATTCGCTATAATGCATTCGCTATAATGCATTCGCGATAATTCATTCGCTATAATAAATTCGCTATAATGCATTCGCGGTAATATATTCGCGATAATGCATTCGAGATAATTCATTCGCTGTAATGTATTCGCTATAATACATTCGCGATAACATTTTCGCGGTATTACATTCGCGCTAATTCATTCGCTATAATATTTTCGCTGTATTATATTCGCTATAATGCATTCGCGGTAATGCATTCGCTATATTATATTCGTGATAATGCATTCGCTGTAATGCATTTGCTATAATACATTTCGCGCTAAAATTTTCGCGGTATTGACATGTAACCACTCTTTTGAATATAACAAGTAACCGTTTTTATCTTACTTAAAAAATTATTGTGTGAGATATTTTATATTAACGGAATTTTCAAATCAAACATTTTCTAAAAAAAGCTTTTTTATATTCGAAATTTTCTCCAAAATCCCGGTTAATATTGGATCTTAAGTAACCAGAGGACTCACTGGTTTTTTTAGGGGGTGCAACATATGGACGTCTCAAGCCATTCCCAGATAAAACTTTTTTTTAAAGCCAGAAAAAACAAACTTATTCCTATTGCAAATGTTTTTGCGTTTTTTAATATCAAAATATTTTTATTAAAAATTCTTGTGTTAAAATAATATTATGCAAACCGATATTTTACTCATAGGTGGAAGAAAGGTTTGGATTGAACCTATATTTGCCAAATCTCTACATATATTTTTGGCTATAACTTAATCGGGCCATATTTAAATATCCACCCAAATCGTGTGGTTTAATAATTAAATGGCTTCTTAAACGATTGAAGTGAACAAGTTAATTTTTGAAATTAATACAAATTAATTTAAACTAGACTACACATAATTATTTTGATAAAGTATTATAATAATTGTGAATTATATATGCTAAAAGGTAATCGTTTGATATTGCATCCCTTCGTGTCGGAGGCTTCGCTAACTAATGCTTCCATTTACGGATTTGCACCCTATTTGTTTAAATTAGCAAATAATTTAAAATAATTCTCACCTATTTAAACAAATCAATTTAATATTTTATTTAAATACCTTTCTTAGAAAATTATAGGGCTTATTTTAAATAAATATTATTTTTCTTTGTAACAGTACATGATTTTATTATAATCTTCCTTTCATTATGCAAAAAGAAAATGGAGAAAAATCAAAATATATTGTATTATATGAAAAAAGATAAATTATTATATAAATTATTATTTTATATAGATGATCCTACCATACGCGTACGCAGGAATTTGGTCTGGGGGGGGGGGGGGATAATAAAATTTTTTAAGAAATATTATTGTTTTTTAAAAATATCTAGCATAAATTTATTAGGACTAATAACTATTTCTAATACACAATTTTAAATTAATGTGAATTATAAAAAAATTATATGTAAAGAATCACTTAAATGACCCAAAATAGAAACTTGAATTTTTTTAGCTTTAAAATTTATATATAAAGTATAAAAAATTTAAATGTTAGAAATATAAATTAATACACAAAAATCTTAGGGAATAATTGTATTTTGTATGTTATAAATATTTACAATGTAAAATCCAATCTTCGTTGGGATTGAGCTAATTTTTCAATTATCTCATCCTTGCTTGTTGTCAAATGCCTATGAATATTCAAAAGATCCAAACCTTTC